AAAACTACCTTGATCTCAGATGGAAACATTTTTAGCTGAAAATTTTTCTGTTCAATTTTCCATGTTGGTTCCTTTATTTAAAAGGAACTATTATCTATCCAGTTCAACAACAACAAAAAACTTTAAAATAGGAAGAGATGGAATAAACCAGTGTTAACCAACATTGTTTTGGGTTTTCTTAAACTTTATACAGAGACTGCAGAAATGCATTTGTGATAAATGATTAGCAAAAAGAAATAACTGGTAAATTGCTTATTGCACAGAGTATTCAACATTAGCATGCTGTTAATTCCTGTAACATTAGAGCAGTATATTCCCATTTCTTCTATTCAGACAAGGCTTGGTCCTGCAATCTGATCAGCAGAAGCAGACACTTACATTCATGCAAAATTAGGGAAGTCAGTGGAGTTCCACCTAGGCTCTCATCTGCTATCCACACAGATCATCTCAGAAACTCATAACCTATATTTCTGAGCAACAGACCCCAAGAAAGAAGTATCCATACAATAAAAACAACTACATATGGCAGGCTGTCAGGACCAGATATTTTTCTTTAATGTGTGCAATTTATATCACGTTTCTTCATAAATTCTTTGTGCTGCTAATACATAGAAAGATTATCTCATCCCTCTTCCTCCTTACTCTATTCTATCATGTGGCTTACTTGCATTGAGAATCACTCTGAGTTAGGAAAAAGGCACAAAAAGGCCACCCTATCCCCTCAGACACTGGTGGAGGACTGGTGGTAACAGCAGAGAATATATTGAACTTTATCTCCTTATGTTCTACATGCGGGCCAGCAGACCTGAACAGGCTTGGAAGGAAAAGTCATCATGCATGGATTGTCACCCTGATCTGTTCTGGGTACACCACAGCTATGAGACACGGCTTTCTCAGTCTAGGGCAGACTGTTATGTTACAATTTAATACTAAAGAACAATAAAATAAAGCTTTCAATGCTTCATTGCCTTTCTTTGCAGCTGTTTATAAGGACAAGCCATATATTCATTCAAAGTATGTCTGATTTATTTACAAAGCAGATAAACTACCCTTGTAGCTGGCCTACATTATTCAGTTATTTTTATTATCAACCATGTGAAAAATTTAGATTTTGTATTGTATAGGAACCTTAAATACACTTCACTGATGGAAAAAAAAATAATTTCTGCTCATTCTGAATGCCTGATTCTTTCAGAACTCAATTCTGCTTTTTCATAGCTGTACTTTTTCTTATGCCAAGAGTGTCTAGTACACAGGAAAAAAGGTAAGATCAAAGCAGACAGATCATTTTGCTGTTAGCAATAGTCAGCCCATAGACATCTAAGTGCAGTAGATTAACAAAATATTTTGTGACTGTCATGATTCAGAGCCTGGTATTGTCTAACTGAGCCCAAGGGGCATTTATAGCAAACACATTTTTGTTATAGTTTCTGTTTATCAAAGAAAACTCAGGTCAGATAATCATCTTATTTTAACTGCAGATTCCCAGTTCTGAGTGCTATTGGATGAAAAAAAAGGAGAAAAAAGAAAGATCCTGAGGTCACAAGAAAGCTGTAAGTCTCTGCAGCCTCAGGACATCCCTACACTCCTTCAGAATCACATATTTTCAATGAGTGTCAAAAAAAAAGAAAGAGAAGGGTTCATGTTTGCAGATTCCGACAAGGATTCATGGTTAAATGCAGACACACAAAAAGCCTGAGGTGGAATCGATCCAATCTTCATAGGTTTCTCTAAGCTGCCCAGAATGGACCAATAATGAACAGAACTCACATTCACTCTTCAGTTAAGAAAGGCAGGCGATGCCTGCACTGGCCAAGACCAGAAGGCAGGAGGTGCTCAAGTATGTTTCTTAGCCTGCCGGCCATTACCCAGCCCAGCTGAGCAGAGGGCCATCCTGTTTGGCTGCATGGGACATGCTCCCAACCCCTTGCTGTCCCCTCGCAGTGGGGTAAGGAGCCCTCATCCCAGTGCCACTCCCCCCCCCGCCCAAGTCAGGTACCTGCCCATGTGGGGGGAGCCTGGGCTAGGGCAAAGAATCTGAACAGCTGCAGGGAACCCCATGTCGAGGGTGATTCGTCCCCACCAAGTGGCCATGCCAGCTATTTAGTCGTCACTTCTGTGAGTCTCTAACCCACAGGGGGCAGGGGCGGAAGGAGTCCCCTGTCCCAGTGCTGGTTTCACACAGTCTGGCACCTGCCCACATGGGGGGAGCCCCATGCCTCAGGGGGGAAGTTTCCTGAGCCAGGGCAGGGGAAACCTCTCAAGGCTTGGGGCTTCCTCCACATGGGCAGGTACTCAGTTCAGGGGGACCAACACTAGAATGGGGGACTCCTTCCCTTCTGTTCCTCCTATGGGTCAGAAACTCACAGGGAGTGGGTTTGAGCAGCCAGCCCAGCCGTGTGGAGGGAAATGCCCCATGGCACAGAGCTCCCCACACCTAGGCAGACCCCAGCTCAAGGAAGCCTGGGGCAGGGCAGAGGAAACCCCCTGAGATGCCCCTTCTCAGGGGTTGGGGCTCAGGGAGGGGAGGGCCTGCTGCCCCGCAGATGCAGGCAGGACACAGGCTGGGGAACAGAGGCTTTGCTGCCACAACTCTGTGACAGCTAGAGGGTGGGGCCAGCTCAGCTCAACAGGAGCAGAGAAGCACTGGTGCAGGCTAGCCCACCCACCCTGCAAGGGGGGTGCTTACCAGAGGGGCCACATAGCATCTTGGGATGTTGGGGGACTGCAAGATAACCTGAATCAGGAGGGGATCTGGGGCAGACATTTGATAGCCCAGTCTGAACTAAACTGATCACATCTGATACTACATCTACCCAGGCCTATTTTAAACTGCGTTTGGCCATTTTGAAATCAGTCTATGTGCACTGAACTCCTGTTCCGTTACAGGTTTAGACTGGTTTCTGATCACTTATACCATTTTATGTATAATTTCTGACCCTAGCCCATGAGTTTGCTCAACCTATGGACTGTGGGCCAGATCCAGCCCTCAAAGTGACTGGATCTGACCCAAAGCATGGGAGATCAGTGGCAGCAGCTCAGCCCAGCACATCCTCTTCCCTGCCCTATGCTGTGCCATTGATCCCTTCCATAGCCCTCTCTGCTCTCTTCCTCTTGCCTCTCCAAAGAGAAGCATTGCTCACCTCTCCTTCCTTCTTTCCCTTCCCCCTACCTTACCAGGCACTGCATACCAGTGGTAAGCATTCTTCCTCTTCCCCTGCTTCCCTAGCAAAGCAAAGTGGTAGCCCATGGAGCAGCCAGGTCAGAAACACTCAGACTGCCACTCTAAAAGTTGGACACCACTGGTCTAAAATGATACAAGAAAACACTTCAAACTGGTTCCAATTCTTTTGGTACAACCACTCTGGTAAGTCAGATTCATCTACAGATATATTATTGAACAACTAGACTTCTTGACCATGTGAGGATGTCAATGCCCTCCTAGTACGTGGTTGATAGAATCATTCAAATGTAGACAGAGATAGATATGTAGCAGACCACAGTAAAAAGAGAATTTAAGACAGATAAATCATATTGTTGTTGCCTTTCCTGACTCAACAACCTCCTCCTTGGTATTCCAAACGTGTGCACAAGGATCAATCCAACTTAAAGAGTAGCCCCTGGCATTTTAGAGGTTAATTATTCAAAAATTTCTTTGAAATACATGAACTTCTAAGTTTATAATGTATTATTACTTGATTAAAATTAATTCTGAACTTTATTTTTTCCCTTTCTCCCTTCTGCAAAATTTCCAAACTCAAAGTTGGGTACTTGTAACAGGTCACCCTCCCCAGCGCCATCTTCCGGGTCATCCGCGCCTTACGTGGGGCACCCTTGGAGTCCTCTTGGAACTGTGCTGTCTTGCTCTAATCTCCCCTGCCACGTCTTGATGGAAATTAGTATGCGAGCAGGAGACTGCCAATTATATTGGGTATGTTGGGGTTTCTCCTAGGATGGCCTGACCCCTTTTTCTCTAGCTAGGCCTCTCCATCCAAACCCACCAAACAGGGCTAGAATCTAGCTCTTCCTTCTAGTGCCTGGAGGCTGTTGGCCCCCTTTTCTGCTCCCTTCTGAGGCATGGTACACCCCGGCCCAGAGGCACATGCGCCGGCCCCACAGCCAAGGGGGTCACAAGTTCAAAACCCAGGTGCAACCCCACCCATCCAAACAATTGAAAAAATATACATTTACACCCCCTCCAGGCATCCCTGGCCTTTTTTAGATCGTCCCAAAACTGCGCCCTTACTGGCACTCAGGCTCTCCGCAGCCCTGTCTCTCTCTGTGCCTCACTGGTGCTGGGCTATGCCCCCAAAAGCTGCGCCCTCACTGGCACCAGGGTCTGTGCCCCCAAAAAGCTGCACCCTCACTGGCACTGGGGATCCCACTCTGGAGTGGGCCCCCAAAATGAGGCCTCCTCCAACCCCTAATAGACTCACCCAAACCACCGGTCTTATTCTATAACCCAAAAGAAAACAAACAGTCCCATCTGTGGGCAATATCTGCCACCCAAAAATGTGAGTAAGGAAAGCGGTATGTCAGCTTACAGTTGCAGGGTTCGTGTTTCAGCTCCCCACTATCAGCTCCAGTCCTTGCTGCAGTGTGGCTGTTATCTCTCCAGGGCTTCTATAGTTCCCCTCTTCCTGGCTTTGGACTTCCCACCAAGCCTCTCCCTGGGGCTCTGAGATGCACCTTCCCCCTTGGCTGCTGGCCCCCTGTCAACCCAGGGCTTTTATAGTCCTGCCTCTTCTGGTCAGCTGACTATCTGTCCCAGTTCAGCGATTAACCCCTTCCTCCCCAGCCCTCTGTGCCCAGAAGGTTCTGGCCTTATAGGGGCACACCTTCTTCCTCATGACAGGGTTAGGGTTCCCTGTCACAGTACTGCTCCAAAAATATATGTAGTATAGCATGCACAGTATTACCATATAAACAAAAAGAACTCCAAAAAATGCTAATATCTACAAATTACTAAAATCAAGTCTAACGACTTTAACAAGATTTACCTTTGCTTGGTGTCAGAATCCAGGGAATGTTGTACAATTTTGTGGAGACACTAGGTATGCTGAAGGCCCTGCTGTAAGAAGTAATTTAAATTCACATCATATTGTTTTTATATTTCCTAGTTTTAAAATAATTAATTTGCAAGCACTATTATGACACAGTATAAAGTGTCATATTTTGTGTGCTTAACACATTATTTTAAGAGTAATCTTAACAAAATATTTGTATAAGCTTCTTCATGATCTGAAGCATTGTGTCTCAACCTTTTGGGATTTATAGAACCCTCATTGTAGTCAAGGCACCACTCCATAACTTTTGTGGATTGAGTGGCACCCAATTTTAAAAACTAATTTATATATTAGTTTCTTACCCTCTGCAGAGGAGCTTTGCAGTGGGGGACAGGGAAGTGTTCAGGCAGGAACAAACCTGAACTTGTGTTTCTCTATTTACCTTATTTGCTTATCTTTTCACACATTATGGAATCCTTCAAAGGATCTGGTACCACCCCAGGGTGCCCTAGCATCCTGGATAAGAATCACTGGTTTAAAGGCTTGCCAAGCATCAATAGGTATTTCTGATCAGTGACAGAAATTTACCATCCAACTGATTTTTGGTGAAAAAGTTAAATTGATGGCTTCATTCCACCTCCTATCAGACCAGCTTTCTACCTCATTAACATCACCACCATAATTTGTGGGTTGTGTCAAGACAAAAGCCAAGAAGTTAACGTATACAGAAGTATAATTACCAACCCAGCCCTGAAGTATACAGAGTTTACTGACATTGGCAAAGAAGTCAACCAGGCAGTACTGCTGTTCTGTGTTCTACACCTGTCGTGTAGTCTTCAGTCCCAAACTGCCAGCACTTTTAAAGGTATTTCAGTAATATCCTTTGCTGGACCAATGGTATAGCTAGCAAAGATGCTAGACAAGCATTCAGGCACAAAGTGCCTTTCTCTAGGTCTGGGGCTCAAAAACTTGTTTTACATTTCTCCCAACTATGCAGTCGGTCCAATAAAAGCTATCACCTTGGTTTTTGCTTATTTCTTGGACCATCATGGTTACAACACCACTCTAATACTTTGTATGCATTATAAAGAAGGCATTTAAAATAAACAACTTCCCTCCTATGTCAAAACAGTGACCGTTGTGATCACTCTTCTCATTAATTGGACAAACCCTGCCTTGGTTTGTGTTGCTACCCATGACAGCAAGAGAATACAGTCTTTTTTTCAGAATAATCTCATCAAAATTATACAGGTTTCACTCCAAGTAATTTGCTGCTAGCAAAGATCATGTAAGATACCTTGAGAGATAAAAAGAATGTTCTATTCTGAAAGTCATATATCAAGAGACACTCGCTGGGTATGTCTACATGTGAACATTAATGCTACACAATAAAATTCAGAGCAGTTTGCACCAGAATGTATTGCTCATGGGTGCAGCATTTACACATGCGCTTGAGACTGCAGCTTGTTGAGCTGGGGTGTGTCTCGGCCGGCCAGAGCCGACTCGAGGTGAGTTAGAAATTGCTCGTTCGTCAGGGCGGGCTGGTGAATGGAGAGGCAGACAAGGTTTAATGGTTGCAAAAACGTTTACTTACGCCACGTGGAGTTGCGATGCAGCTGGTCCGGTCGTCTGAACAACCACGTGAGTTGTTCCAGCTGGCGGGGCCCAAGCCAGTGAATCCATCCGTAAATCAAGCTGGCGGGAGAAGGGTACGTCTGGGCTTGCGCTCGGCGACGGGAAGAAGGATCGATAGGTGATCAGTCCATCGATCAGCTAGCCGCAAGTCAGATCTCTTTAGAGGCACTCTGCAGCGTGCTCAAAGTTCTTCGACTTGGGCGAAAGTCGCGCACATTTTTAAACGGCCAGCAAGCCAATTACTAGCTGCCACGTGTGAATAATTTAGAACTGGCCAATAGCGGGACACAAATTTGCATTCGAATAGCGGGAACTCTTTGCACCGTGCATTTCTGTGCTGCAAGGAAGAAATGCACCCTGCAAATTGGCGGGAACTCTCTTGCACCGAGGTCTCTTCTGTGTAGCAAAAACCTTCGCTGTGCAAGAGGCTCTCATGTGGCAAGAAAATTCCGTCGTGCCGAGGCACCAAAATCACTGGGTTGTGACAGGGTGGTGCAGCCCCAGATGGCCAGGAGCTCAGGGGGTCAGCCTACCAACCTGGTACTGCTCCGACCCAGCTCAGCATGCTGCAGGAGGGCTGTCTGGGGCACAATGGTACTACAGTGCAGGGCTAGCCGGCAGACAGCCCAGCACTGTAGTGCCCTCATGCCCCAGCCAGCCCTAGTCAGCATCTACATGTGCATTGTGGTGGAATAAATAACTCTTCCATAAGTTAGTACTTGTATCTGCTGATACTAACCTACAGCACAGTTGATTATTTTACTCTGGCCTAACTGTACCACTTGTGTAGACCAGAGACACTTTACTGCAGAAATAGTTAGTCTACTCCACAGTAAATGCCTCATGTAGATGTGTCCACTGTCTAATTATGTTCATATTTTGATTATTGGCTACATGATAATCTGTTCACAGACATTTATGGAATTGGCTACCAACCAGAAAGCAATATTCACATGCATTTTATTTGTTCTGTTTCTGTCAATGTTGCTGCACCATTTTTTTTTAACATAGAAAAATTACATGGATACCCACTACTTGCTTATTCCCAGAGCTCAGTTCCCAGTATTGCTAAGAAATAACTGTGAGCTGCATAAGTACCACAACAGGAGTAGCTCTGCTTCAGTCACTGAGGCTGATTTACCTATGTATTCTCCAAGAACCTCCAGAGTCAGCAATGCCACAAGTAGCTTTTACAACTAGAGTAGCACTTATCTATATCTGTTGTGCAACCGTGGGCACAGGGATGCAAATACTGGCAGCATACTGACACAAAAATCATGGAGTGAGAATTCTACAACACACGTGTATTTTGATGCTTGGCATTTTATACTTATACAAAAATTAAGACATGCCATTAGAAATCTAGGCACAAATGGACCCTTATAACTATCTGTTTTTTTCTCTTAGTGATATTATACTCATCTCAGTAATAGTGATTTGTACTTCTATTTGGTTTATTTTACATGAACATTAATTTTCAAGCTAACATCACATTCTGATATAATGTATACGTAACTATAGTTCTAGATACTTGAAAGATGTCATTGGTGTCATAAGCACTGAACCTTCTTCAGCCCAATGACTTTTAACACAATCCCTAAACATTATTACAACCAACATAACACTGCCCATTCATGTCTTATTGTCTATGTCAAATACACTTTCCAATAATAAAATTCCAAAAATTCAAAAAATCCAATAATAAAATTATGTGCATACTTGGATTTTTCTAGCAGCTCACCCAAAATGTTTTGCAATGTCACCCTATTCTCTTAGGTCTCTCAAGCTATTTTGCTACTGGCTTCAATGGGTATATAGTAATTAGCATTAAACTTAGGTGGGTTTGAATTTTTTTAAAAGTCCTGTGGGTGAAGGGCTATGACAAAATGATGCTGATATCCAGATAAACTGCTGAAAGGAGTTTAGATCAAGTAAGACAAATCTAAGTCAAATAGTCATAAACACATTTTATTTTGACTGGAAATGTCCCAACTAAAAACATTCAAGAGGATTTTGAGTGAATTGAGGGGCTTTTGTTGTATGCTAATAGACAAAATACATTTTTATTGAGGAGACAAGAAAGAAAAGTACATGAAAGTTTTTTCCCTTGGTTTTCTAGATGAGGATGCATATTCATGCTCTCCTGATTGAAGCATGCTGTATACCACCTGCTGGGGTAAAGCCAAAGTAGCATAATTTAATCACTAAAAAATTGTACACCTAAGTGGGTTCATTTTCACATGGACTCTGTGTGTCCTCCAGGTGAATATTCAAAGTTTGGTTGTTACATGTACTTTCATTGGTGTTACATCTTTTGATTCTGCAGTGGTAGGGATTAAACTGCACTTGGAAGACAGAACAAAGGAAGACTGGTAACTTTCTTGTTCTGAGCTGGGATCAAAAAATGAAGTTGCATTAAAGTGTTCAAATGAACCCATGGAAGTTTAGCAGTTTAGTTTGAGTGGTTGGAAACCTATCCGCAGAACACTATCCAAGCATTACACGGACCAACTCTTGTGCTCTGTAAACAGCCTGTGCTGCTAATAGCACTCAGCCAGGTGGCACCAGTCCATGCATCCCAGTGTGTTTTGCAGGCTCCCCTGTCTGCCTAGAGACAGCTGACAGCAGCCAAGGGCACAAGTCAGGGTTGATTGGCTGGTGGCACCAGGGGATTATGCCCCCTCTCCCCAAAACACTCTCCCCGAACAAGTCATAGACTGTTTCCCTGTAGTGCAGAATTTTCCACTGGTCTTTTCTAACCAACTTTATGTCTAATGTATGTCTCTCATTCAGCAAGATGTGAATGTAATGGTCCAGAGTATACAGGCATGTGTTTTAGGTGCCCATATATTTTTGAGATTTTAAAGAGGATCTTGAAATATATGCTCTGAAACTGATTTAAATGGTTCCCTTTTTCCTTTATAGAAACAATTTTAATGTTTACTTGAGTCCTGTTCCTCTACCACTGGAGTGACTTCTAGTTTTGCCACAGAAATGAATGAGAGGACCAGAAATTTCATGAGAGCATATAAACAATATGGTTCAATCCCTTCTTAGTATTACAGTCTAAAGGCTGGAATATCTCTCATTGGGAGGAGATCCTTCATTTGCACTAACAGGATCTTGGATATAACCTGTGTGTCTTCATGAGGTATTAAGGAACTTCATATAAGTTAGTGTACGTGGGCAAACAAATAGACCATTTTTCTAAAATGTGAATACTTTGCAATAAATAGACCAATTTACAAATTATAACCTATGAGAAGACATGGTCAGTTTCATGTGCAGGTTGGAGAGAGGACAGAAAATAAGTTGACTATCCATTGAGAGAGGCAAGGATTTTTGTGGACGAACTTCATGGTTGGCACAGACTTGGACAAGCTTTTGAATGTGTACATTCAAAGATGTCACCCACAAAAATCCTGGCTTCTCACATATTTCCTGGATCATCATGGCTGCAATCTGACCATACGTTGTCTTTCAGCCAATTTTACCTGATAGATGGATAGATAATAAATGAATACTTCACCTGATAGATGAATACTTCCCACTATTCTGATGTTCCATAGTTTTACTGATTGAGTCAATCCTGACCAATAATTCACTTATGCTAATTCTTTCTGTTAAAAAAACAACAAAAAACACTTAAAAGTATATAGATGTAACATTTATGAATACAGTCAGCAAATTAAATTGGGCACCCACTCATGATGCTGTTCTATAACAAAAGGCTTGAGAAACTTCTCAAAGGAACTGATGATATATGCATATAACTACCAGAAACAGAGGCATTTCCTCATATGTTGTGCAATTAATTTTGGATTCTGAATCACCAAACAAGTGGACCACAAACTCCACAAAACTCTGTTTTATGCTCATGAGCACAAGGGAAGCCAAAATCACTTTTAACTATAAAACTGCTTTAGAAAAAGACCTTGTTAGGAGTATGTGCACACAGTGTTTTTCTTCAAAGATCCACAGATAGCAGAAACACTCTTCAGGACTTCAAATGTGAAAATGGGCTCCTTTCTTCTCTCTACTTCTCTGCCTCTTCCATCTTGCTGCCATGCCACAATTCTGTGTGCTTTTAGTTATACATTATGATCATTTGCACACACAAGTGTTTTAGTACTCATGTAAACTTAAGTTTAAGGACCAAGGAAAAAATGTTACCCAATAATCCATTAATTCCATACTGCTAGAAATCAGGCCACCTATTTTGGCACTTATATGTAGATTCTCAGTCATACACACCCACACATTTTAAGGAAAAATGAAACAGAGAAAGAGATAGAAATAGGTCCTATAATTACAATTAAATAAAAATGAAATGAGGAGACCCCCTGCCAGCCTCCATCCTGTCTGCTCCCCCAGCCCCACTCGACCCCCACTCGCTCCCCTAGCCCCCGCATGGCTGCCCCATCTGCCCCAGCTCCCAGTGCTTTAAAAAAAAGCCCCACTCACTGGGTGCTGCTGGATGGGGGGGCGATCCCCACTGCCCCATACTGCCCCATGCTGCATGGGGGGCTCTGTCATGAGCCCCCTGACCCCCACCCTCACTCCCGCAGTCCTCCTACAGGTGCCCCACCCAGGCCACCTCTGGCCCTTTAAGGAAAAAAAAACAAAAACAAAAAACAGAAATGCCCTGGGACTCACCACTCCTGCAGTGGCCTCAGGGCTTTGGGGAGCTCGTCGTGCAGCACCCCCCATGTGGTGTGGTGCAGGCGGGATTGCCC